GGGAAAGAGAGAAGCATGAAAATTCTCTGACAGTATTTTTCATCATCTGTGATGAAAAATTATTTATCCACAAACATTAAGTTTGGTGCTTCTTTAACTGGTATTATGGTAAACAGTGGTATTTCCTGAAATGTGATGCTACATGTTCACTTACTTCCTAAGTTCTGAAAAGCAACTCCAGCAAATACTGTATCATCTGGAGTGACATACTTCTCAGGTGTAATATACTAGGAAATGAAAGAAGCAAATGTTACTGCCAGTGATCACTTGCATTGAATGTTAGATTTGGGAAATAGGTACAGTATATGTGGAAGCTTGAGTCTTCAAGAACATATCCCAAGGGAGACAGTTTCTTAAGATGAGAGAGACATTTTCTTGAATTTTTTTGACCTTCTGTTTGCTATCATGCATATCTAAAGTGAAGTGAACTTAAGCTTGTGTTTGTAAAGCTTTACTTAGTTGACAGTTTAAAAAAAGAGGATGAGATGGTGGGTGCAACCTACCAGCAGTGTGATCATAGTAATCCCATGTAGCTCCTTTGACTGAAAAGGCTTTTCAGCCTTATGCAGCATCTCTTAATAATCCCGTAAATGTGATATTTTAATTCTTCTCTTTTATTCTTTAAAAATTTATGCAGACTTTCTGTGAGAAATATATTTAATCTATATTTAGCTTTGTAGGCATTCTATGGAATTCACAAAACCCTTGCTTAAATTACTAATTTAAATGAAAAAAAAATCACATTTGTACAGCATTTTGGAGATTCAGAGAACTATGGAGGCATTTCATATGCTAACTGTATCATTGATATTTACTACATGACATTTAAAAACAGTTCAAATAACTTAGGCATTTATTTTCTTTGTCGTTGATGATTAAATGGCCTGTCTTAGCCTGATTTTCATGAATGGCTGCACCCCTTTGTGTCATTCTCCAGATGCAGGACAGTATAAACATATGCTTGTGCTGCAAAGTCAAAAAAGTGAGAAATGCATAGTAAAGAAACTGGAGCACATAATTTCGACTCCAAATATTTACCAGTTCACATACGGCAAATGGTATTTCAGTGGAAGTGACTTTGATTTGTGTTTGCATTTGTGACTTCTCATGGTTTGGTTAATGGTTGGAAAGTTGATTTGGATATTGCAAGTAATCCCAGATATTCAAGGTTCAGATTAGTGTTTATGTTTGTAGAGAACCTGCAGATTGTTCTTGTGTGTGTATACAGGATCGTCTGTTTTCTAGCAGACTTGGTGCGTGGATTGTCTTAGTTCAAGAAGTTAGTGTCCTAAAAGTTCAAGGATGGGACTGATGGTTTGTCTCTTTATCCTAGATGACCATATCATTCATTTCTCTTTTCTTAGTTTCTCTAGCTGACGTTAACAGTAGTGAGTGCTTTTTAATCATTTTCCTGTTTCAGTTGTGGAGAGTTGGGTGGATAGAAAGGTCTGGAATGGAAGCCAGGTGTTCTCTTTCTTGGTACTTAATGTAGGCCTGACAAATCAAGCCAACAACTATATGATAAAACAGAGGAAAAGAGCATTTTAAGTATACATCTCCCACATGCCAATATATTTGCTTTCCGCTGGTAAAGTCTTTTGTTGTATCTAAAAAGAAAGCAAGAATGGTCATCTGTGTTCTGATATCCTTAGAACAGCTGCATGTGACTGCTGCAGGAACTGATCAATAGCATTAATTCAACGTTATGTAAATATCCCTTGTAATATTTGAGTGCAAAACCCTTTGAGTGAGGGAATAAGGGGGTAAGGGAAGAAATGGGGGAAATCAGTGCCAGAAGAAGAAGGAAAGGAGTTTGTGTCTGCTGGGAGTGACTGATACGTCTTGTCACCTTTCAGATACATCTGTGGGCACAGCTCAGCAGTTCCTGGCAGATCTGGCCTTTTCTGCTCCCCTTCCCCAGACTGCTTGTCAGTCCTTCGCCACACTCTCTGTTCCTTCTCCTGGGCACTCACTGGGATACATTATAAATACAAGCTTCCAGAAGCTCCACATGAATGATCTGTACTTACAGAGCGTGTGTTTTGTTTTCTAGTGGGCCCAAGCGCTATGACTGGACTGGACAGAATTGGGTGTATTCTCATGACAGAGTATCCCTTCATGAACTACTATCAAAAGAATTTTCAACAGCATTAAAAACTAAATTGGATTTGTCCTGCTTAATATATTCTGGGAAAGAAGATACTTGATGATATGCTACCTCATGGAATTTTAAAAACTTTAACCACAAGCCAAGCCCTTCATCGGTTTCTGAAGTACCTGAGCTTAATTTTGTTGTTGTTTTTCTTGAACATCACTATGTTGTGCAGAAAAATGAAAAATAATATATTTTTTTCTGTAGCACTCAGCCTTTGGGTTTCTGCATTACTGCTTGAATCTGTGTCTGTGTAGCACAGCTGGTTGAGGTGACCCCTCCTGTCACTGCATTTCTTACTTCCTTACTGCAGAAGTCAGTCACGAATTCTCACTGTCTGTAGTCCTTTCTGGGTATAAGGACTGACCCACCTGGTGCCATCTGACCAGTGCACAAATGCTAAACTTCTTTTGGTGAGACATTCACCCAAAACAAGAAATGTTTTATGAATTGCATTAATATAAGTTGTGGTACTGTGAATGCATTGCATTAAAATTTGTGGCTACTGCGAGTGACTAATGCATCATAGTCAAATTGAACATGTCATAAATGAAATGACTGCGGCAGGTAGAAACTTTTTGTCTTGTGTAATGCATGTAATAAGAGTTTTTCTTTCAGTATTGCAGAACTTGCTCTTTTCTACAAATTCTAAATTCTAGTTTCTTTCACATTGGGACTTTCTTGATCTAAATTTTAAATTACTTAGAGGTTTGTATGTCTATAAGCATCATATGGAACTGAAAAGACTGATCTATGATGTTTAAGTTGTGCAGCACTATCTCTGCAAACAAACACTTTGTTCTGTTACTATGGATCATAGAATAGTTTGGGTTGGAAGGGACCTTTAAAGGCCATCTAGTCCACCCCTGCACCCACACCGAGCAGGGACATCTTCAACTCGATCAGGTTGCTCAGAGCCCCATCCAGCCTGATGGGGTGTTTCCAGGGATGGGGCATCTACCATCTCTCTGGGCAACCTGTGCCAGTGTTTCATCACCCTTATTGTGAAATATTTTGTCCTTATATCTAGTCTAAATCTATCCTCTTTTCTTTTAAAACTATGACCCCTTGTCCTATCGCTACAGGCGCTGCTAAAAAGTCTCTCCCTATCTTTCTTCCAAGCCCCCTTTAAAAGTACTGGAAGGCTGCAATAAGGTCTCTCCAGAGCCTTCTCTTTTCCAGGATGAACTACCCCAACTCTCTCAGCCTGTCCTCACAGGAGAGGTGTTCCATCCCTCTGATCATTTTGGTGGCCTCCTCTGGACCCACTCCAACAGGTCCATGTCTTTCCTGTGCTGAGGGCTCCAGAGCTGGATGCAGGACTCCAAGTGGGGTATCACCAAAGTGGAGTAGAGGGGCAGAATCCCCTTCCTCGACCTGCTGGCCATGCTGCTTTTGATTCCTCTTTCTGTTCCTTTTTGTTACTCGAAGAGTAAAAATACATAATTTATTGGCCTTTTTTTTAGTTGAGCAAAATTTAAATTCTCAATTTTTTCTCAGAAATTTTGCACTAATTTTTTTATCCTTCATTTCTTATGTAAATGGGCTTAGATTATCTTTTTTGACCATGATAAAACAAGACTCTCCTTAGTACCGTGCTGATGCAGAAACTTCTGCCTTTTTGCTTCGTAGAACTGAGTATGGTACTTAGGCTGATGAAGCTGTCTTTCAGGCTGTTAAAAATGAGAATGAAATAAATTACATACTCTGGATCTTAAACCAAAAAGCATTAAAAGGAAGCAAGAACTGCAAGAAGAACACTTCAACACTTGCACTGTTGTACTATTACCACTGGTGGTTTTTAATTGCCTGTAAAATGGAAGCACAAAGTTGTTGACTAATTCTTGAGGCAACAGTTATACCATACTCTTATAAATTGTTTATCAATGTATGAAAAGATGTTCAGTGCAAACTATTTTTCTTCTTGGTTCCTGTGACGCTTGTGGTTAATTTGGCACAATTCTCTGGCTAGCTAGAATTATTGGAGATGTGATTAATTTTGTCAGTGAAAAACAACAGCATATATAGTTGCCCAGTATTTGCATTTGAAGTATAAGCATTTTTCCCACTGTTAAATAGAAAGTAACATTTCACAGGAAGCAGCTCTTGGTTAATTGTGCATGCTGTTTGCATGTTTTTCAACCAAAATAAAAAAGATGACAGTTACATGAAATTTCTGCTCTACTGGATGAAGTAAATACAGTGACTACTAACTCATATAAATACAAGTGTAAAATATGCTTTTTTTTTAACAAAGGGAAGCTAAAAATAGAACATTTTTTTGCTATTTGGACTTTAGAACACTGAAAATAATTTACAGCATATGGAAATACGGTATTTAGCTCAGTCTCCTGGTAGTTCCAGTGGCTATTTAAACACATTTGTATAGGCATTAATGACTTTGAATCAAGGATACTTCCTCCTAGTTCTTCCTTTACGTGATTACCTATACTTGTGTAATTATTTTTCAGGTTTACTTTTAAAAAAAAAAATTTTCTTAAGTAATTTGCATGCAACATATTCACTAACGTGTCTGATTCCTATTTAGAGGTTCATTCTCTGTTCCCTTATGTCTTGTGCAAACTTTTATACCAAAATAAAGTTGCGAAAATTCTTAATTCACTATTTACAGGTAAAATTTCAGGCTATGACGATAAAGGTAGAGACTGCAGACGCATAGTTTTGAATTCTTTGTGTTTCTTGAAACACTTACTATAAAGATTCTGTTCAAAATTTGGTCAACTGAGGTGGATATCGTAAGAGCACTTCAACTTTCACATTTGATGTGCCTTGCCCTTTGTCCATAATGCTACTGCTATTTATGCAAACAGTTTCCTGGTTTTAGGTATCTGAGTAACAAATGGCTTTAATCTAACTGGCTAAGATACATAGTGTCAGCAAGTTAGAATGACTTTTATCTGGGTATACAAAATGAATCATAGGACGTGACTCATTTTTGTGCTCTAATGCTTGCATCAAATTGTGAGCAAAGGCAAGGACTCTCAGCCATCTCATGCAGAGGAGGCACCAGACGAGCCCCGATCCCAATGTCAGACTTTGCATATTGCCCCAAGACAAATAACTCTTCTGAACGGTTTTTTTATTTCTGTAACTTACTCAAATAAGCAGATAGTTCTATGGTTACACACCTGACATCATGTCAATCATTTCTTACTTCAAAAAAACCCCAACAATTGTCTTGCTCACAAAAGAAATAGCTGAAGAAAAATCCTTTGATAGACCCTACGGACAGTGTTGATAGGAACCATCGTGTTGCTGGCAGCATTTTTCCAGCAAGCCAATTGCTCAATCTTTAGTGGAGGAGTGGAGGAAAACAGAGGTACTTTTAAAAGATAAGTGTTGGCATTTGTATCTGTACTGGATGCTCGAGCTCAGCAGAGAGCGCAGGGTGTGTTGAGGTTTTTTTGCTGTATTGGGAGTTTTCACAACTAATCACTTTTCCTGACAATTGTTATTTTTCTGCTTCTGGCCTATAGTCCCAAAGTCCTAGCACGTCTAACCTTGCTAAAACTCATTGTTTCCTGTGTGCTGGTGTGTTCTTTGGAAGCCTGGATTGATCCATGTGGTCAAGTGAGACACGCAAGCAACTGCTCGCAGTTCGTATTGGTCACAAAATACTACCTTTGTCTGACAGGAGTTAAGTGCCTAAATGCTTGTCTGGTGTTTGTCGGTTCATTTTCCTTTCCACTTGTGATAATTCTTGAGAAACGTTACCTCTTCCCTGCAAGACTGTTCCGTGGGATAAGATCATCCCCAGCTGTTTCCTTAAAGTTCCCCAAGTCTTTTAGCGGTTTCAATAAATGTGATAAAGACCTGTCCTGAAGAGGTGGTAGCCGAACGCGGGAAGGGGGATTCGCAGGGAGGTTTGTGTTTGATTACTTACAGCTTCTGGTTAATGGTTGAACGCCGTGATTGTGCTAACGAGCTGTGGAATGTGTGGGAGTCCTGGGAAGGAAGGCGGAGGCTTGCCAAAATACCTGGAAGAGCATTCAAAATAGAAAAGGAAGCGTGGGAGGGGCAGAAGCAAAGGCTATCTGGAAGAGATTTAACTTTGCCCAACGGCTGGTGTCGTTGGCAGGGCAAGGAAAGGCTAGGGGCAAGCTGCATCATGTTGTGGCCCCGTAGGGGACAGTATTTTACATTTACTGCGCACCACTATTTATAACTGTAACCAAACATCTTCCAGTCCATTTTGCTAATAGAGATTTTTTTTTTTTTTTAAGCTCCGGTTTAAAGATAAGAGAAAGTTCTATCGTCCCCCTCTGTCACAAACTGTCTTTAATGTACATTGTACTGCTGGCAGTCGTAGAAGAAGGACGAGATTGACGACCTCTACCAAAGGAGATTGCTTAGCGGAGGCTGTTTCACTGGGTGTAGAATAAACAGACCTATGAACAAATAAAGTTTCTTAAACAGTTACTAATTACAAATATTTTTGAACGTCAGGTTAAGGAAAGACAGATGAGCTTGGGTAAGGAAACAAAAGATGTTTAAAACAAGCCGTATAATGTTGTTGCTGCCCTCTCCAATTTGCTGAATTGTTCTAATAATTGTTTGTGTCATGGTAATTATGCCAAGCGATCAGTATTACAATGAGTAATTTTATGAGCATTGTTAGTTTCCAGATGTAGGCTCTTTTGCTAGCCATCAATGTTCTCTACCGTTCTGCTAAAATAAAACCTGGGAATACGTTAAATAAGTCGATATTATTACTCGTCTTCAAAGCACTTTAGAACCATTAAACAAATATCGTTAAAGCCACTATTACAAAAGCAGCTTCAGAAAAAGGAAAACATTTCGAGAACAGATGAAGTTTTTAAACATCCTTTAAGGAAACAGAAACCAGTTTACAGTGTAAACCAAATAATCTGACACATACCTGGAAGTGAGACTAAATTTCCACTCCCCATGCCTTGATCCTGCCCGAGCGCAATATCGTCGCTGAACCTGTCTACAGCTGAGGGAAAACGTCAAGTTCCTGAATTAGTCCTTTTTTTTTTTTTTTTTTTTTTCTTTCTCCCCTCGGTTTTGCTG